AAGTTTGAACAATTTAGAGTTATTTTGCTCAAAATGATGTTGTTTTGAGTGAAAAAAACTCATTTAAAAAAGAATGGAACAATAGTTAATTGGCCGATTAGGCGACATAGTCGGTATCTAGGCGGCGTTGTCGGTGCCTAAGCGGCCTAGTCGGTCAGTGCTTAGGCGGCCTATACGGCAATTAGGCGACCTAGTCGGCCGCCTAGCCAGCCAGCCACCTAGACCATCGATTATGGTGATACGCTAGGCGGCTGTCTAGCGCCTAGCACCTAGGCGCCGATTAATCGTTGCCTAGGCGGGATTTTTGCAACATTAATAAAAACACATAATAAATCACTAATTAATTAATCATCTACTAAAACTAAAGCATATACTCTAGAGATTTTTTAAGTGGAAAAAAGTTCATAAAGAAAGAAAGAATGATTTGATTACTTGATTTATTTAACTTTATTTGGTGATTTTAGACTTCAATATGTGTTTTGGACTTATTTAATATATACGTAGGAGAATTTTAAAAAATAAAAAAATATAAAAAGGGCCAAAAGATTATTTTTATCTCTATTATATATATATATATATATATATATATATATATATATATATATATATATATATATATATATATATATATATATATATATATATATATATATATATATATATATATAGAATTAGGTTCTGGTGCGGTTAGAGTGTCCAGGTGCAGTTGTGCGGTTTAATCTGGGGCATTCATCTCGCTTAAATCAACGTCCAGGATTACCAAAATTTAAAAAAAAAATGCGATGACAATTTTGTAATTTTTGCATCAAGGTCAAAATTAAGGTGAGCGGTTCTGTGATTAATGTGCGTGAGTTTTGTATATCAGATGCGTGAGTCTTGTGCGTAAGGTGCGTGAGTTTTGTGCTTAATGTGCGTGGGGTTGTGCTTAATGTGAGTAGTTGTTAAAACTTAACGTGTGGGCTTTTGTGCTTAATGTGCGTGAGATTTGTTCTTAATGTGAGTGGAGTCTGTGCTTAATGTGCGTAGGGTTTGTGCTTAATGTGTGTGAGGTTAGTGATTAATGTCAGTAGTTGTTGAAACTTAAGACTGTGAGTTAATACCTAATGTGCGTGGGTTTTGTGCTTAATGTGCGTGAGGTTGTGCTTAATATGCGTGGTTTTTGTACTTAATGTGCGTGAGTTTGTGCTTAATGTCAGTAGTCGCTGAAACTTAAGGTCTGTGAGTTAATACTTAAAGTGCGTGGGTTTTTGTGCCTAATGTGTGTGAGGTTGTGCTTAATGTGCGTGAGTTTTGTACTTAATGTGAGTGAGTTTGTGCTTAAGATATAACACTTAAGGTGCGCCATTTTTAGCTTATGCTTCTTACTTCCAGACACGCGTTTTTTTATTTTTATTTTTTAAATTTTCATTGATTTGAGCCGTTGATCTAGATTTGATTAAGGGTTCAGATCTAACCGCACGGGAAGCTATACCCGCACCGGAACCTTTCCACACACACACACACACACACACACACACACACACACACACACACACACACACACACACATATATATATATATATATATATATATATATATATATATATATATTTGTAAATTATTTTGGAGGTGGGGCCAAGGCCCCCTACCCACCCATGTGGATCCGCCACTGTTTTTGGTGAAAAACATCAATTTGAAAAATTAGTAGAAGTTTAAATGAATAAAAATATAGGACAATATTTTATTTTAGCAAATATGCAGAAATTTTTCATGCATCAATTTAAGATAAATTTGCATTATTATAAGTGAAACTCACATTATACTATACAATTGCTAAGGGGGAACATCGATGGAAACTCAGGAAACGCTCTCGTCACCTCGCTCATCCGAGAATCTGGATCTCTTGGAGCGTAGCACCAAGAAATCCAAGAAGGAAAGGGCGAACGTAGACTTCCCACCTTTGGCGAGCCAGGAGATCGTGATGGTGCAGGAGACGCCGGTAGATGATATGAGGGTGGATATTGGTGTGATCCCAATGATGCAGACCTGCATGGGAACGCGATCGCCACAATTGCAGAATGCACTGCGTCCACAGGAAGGCCAAAATCGAACGTACGTGGAAAGCCTGACGGGCATGGCTGCAGGTGATCCAACCAGATTGGATGACTTTGTAGATGCAGGTCCAGACCACGATACTCTGGAGGCAGAGGAAGATGATGATCCCCTTTGTCCAACCATCCGCTTGACAAAGGAGGAACTGGAGAAGATCCGAGCGCCGTGGAGGAAGTCTTTGATCATCAAGGTTATGGGGAGACATGTTGGCTATGCTTACATGCTCCGGAGGCTCACATCGATGTGGAAACCAAAGAGCAGCATGGATTTGATTGCTTTACCCAACGAATATTTTCTGGTAAGGTTCGGATCCGTAGATGACTTAGAATTTGCTTTATTTGAAGGGCCTTGGATGGTCCTAGACCATTACCTCATTGTTAAGCCATGGGAACCCGACTTCGATCCAATGAACGACAAGACGGAGAAGATGATCGTGTGGGCAAGAATCCCGTGTATCCCCATGGAATACTATGACTACATTTTTCTCCGGAAGCTGGGAAGAAGGATTGGGAGGGCAGTTTGCGTGGATCAGGCTACTAGCATGGGATCCAGAGGTATGTTTGCTAGAATATGCGTAGAGATTGATATGTGCAAGCCTATTGTTTCAAAATTTACGTATGAAGGAAAGGTGCGACATGTGCCCTATGAAGGGCTCCATTTGATCTGCTTCTCATGTGGGCGCTATGGCCATGCAAAGGAGAGCTGTCCTTCGCTGAAAAAACCAGTGTCGAAAATTGAAACGGATGCAGAGGCGGGGAATGACGTGTCGGATCACGACCGTGCGACTGGACAACATGCGCATTTGAAGGAAGCCGATGATCCGAAGATCCCTTTTGGATCGTGGATGATTTCACCTCAGCGACGAGGCAGACCGACGGCAGTGGTGAGCTGTCGTAGGCTTCCAAATTAAAACCTTACAAACGTAGTAGCGGGAGTAAGGATCGATCCCACGAGGAGTAACTAGTTTAACTTTTGTGCTCAAATTAAAGGTAGGGGGGTTTGGAATATATCGAGAGTAAAGATAAAACAAAAGAGAATTTAAATAAACAAGAAATTTAATTGAACGAATAAAGCAGTGAAAATAATATATCGAAAACACTTATAATAGGAGACATTGGTTAGTAAAGATCCACCACCGGAATTCAACACTGATCATTGATTAATAAAGTAATTAATATGCAATTGAATATTTGTCGTGAAATTATTTCATTTCTGTTTTCCCTTAGTTGTAGGTAAATAAAGCACAAGCGGTTTAATTACCCCTAACTACTAAATAACCTAAGACAAGCGCTATAGATTTAATTTAATAGCAGCAATAGGAACTAGGAAAACCGACAAACTAAATAACACAAGCACAAGCGGTTGCATTTAATTTAGGAAAATATTCTTCCCGAGTCCAATTATCACTAAGCCGTCAATAATTAACCCAATTGCTACTGAATATTAGAATAATTTGTAGCACAACATTATCTAATATAGCAAATAATTATATCAAGTAAATAACTAGTAGGCCTCCCTAGCAATTCAATGGTGCAACTATTCAAATAACTTAGAAGAATATTTAATACCCAAATGCATAAAAATTATATAATAAAAATAAATAAATAACCTTACAGCGTTATGAACTCCGGGACTTCAATTCACTAAACCAAACAAGAAATTAGCCGCAAATGGACATTGATAACAACCTTAAAGAATATTCGAGAGGGGAAGAATGAACTAAAGAATGAACCATTTTCAATAGGAAACCTACACTATTTATACTACTTCTAAAAATATTTTCCAATCATTTTCCTACCACCCATTTTCTACTTTTGTGCCGCACAACATACTCCTTCGACCATTTTGTAATGATGCCGTGAGAAGCGCTTGCACGTCCGAATAGCGTCGAAATGGACAAAGTCCTATTTGCTGCTGCTCCGTACGTTCATTCTGCATACAAATTGAAGAAACAAAACAATGTTTAATATAATGTTTTATTTCTTTTGTCTTCTTCTAAGAATTTGGGTGGTTAGTGATTTATTTGCTTAGGATTAAAATGAAAATATGGAATTAGGCTCAAAATATATTATTAACTAAATATTACTATAAAATACTAATTAATTAATTAAATCCTAAAATGAAATAATTAGTAAATAATTATAAATAACTAATGCAAAAATATTATAAAGATGTACCTAAAATATGAGTGTAAAATATGCCTATCAGGCAGCAGGACAGTCCAGAGCGTCGCGGGGTGGGAGTAGCCGAGGTGGTGGCAGCGCAGGTGGCCGGGGAAGGATGGTGACTGCTTCCCGGTTTGCGCCTTTGAATATGGAGGAGGGTGATGTGGATGATGTTGGCGAAAATATGGAGGCCACAGAAGAAGCGGATGAGGCGCAAGTAGCAGATCGGATTGGTGCGGATGATCCAGTGAAGCCACGCTCACCAGTAACTCATGTACAGAGAAATGCAATGCACCGTAGGCCTAATGTTGTAGCACATGAGAAACAAATCATGAATGACCCCATGCCGGTGCGCGAAGCTATACCAATTGCATCACCAAGTGGGGTCGGAACACGGAGGTCAACGGGGGAGAGACCAAGACGAGCGGCAGAGGAGACGGAGCACGTGGTTGTCCGGGGCGAGAAAGGAGGACTAGTTATACATTCTTCGCGTGTGTACGCCGGTGACTCCGGGGAGGTTTTGCCATCCCCGGTTTGGCAGGACACTGGGGAGCACTTTGGCGACCCACCGGAGGCCTTTGATGACGAGGGCGATGCGATGATGAACATTGACAATCAACATGTGGAGGGAGGTAACGGGGAAGCCTAATAGGCTTTCCCGCGTTTTTGTCTGTTGTTGTGCTTTTCATGTTTGTGTTTCTTGAGATTATTGTTCTCTCTTTTCCCTTTAATTTTGTTTATCCATGAATTACATTTTTTGGAATTGCCAGGGCGCAGGTGGTAAGCCATTCCTGCGCGCCCTCAAGTTCCTTCTAAAGTCTCATAGGCCAAAGATCCTAGGACTTTTTGAACCCAAGGTCTCCGGCGACCATGAAAATTCTATTTACAAGAAGCTTGGATTCTCGGATTGGATTAGAGTGGAGGCAGTCGGCTTAAGTGGAGGCATATGGATTTTTTGGGAGACTCCATTACGGGTCACGGTCTCATACACTCATCCCCAATTTGTGTTGTTACAGGTGAAGGAGAGTAATCAACATCCGTGGTGGTTTGCGGCGGTGTATGGTAGTCCTACACACCATCTACGGAGACGCCTGTGGCAGGATCTAAGGCGATCCACACGTGGGATTGTCGGGCCCTGGATTGCAGCTGGGGATTTCAACTCAGTTCTATCAAAAAGTGAAACAAGTAACTATTCTTCTTTTTCTTCTTGCAGGAGCTCAGACTTTGCAAATTGGATCCTAGAAGAAGGCCTGGTTGATATGGGCTTCTCGGGGCCAAAGCTGACTTGGGTGAAGGATGGACACAGCGATTTCATAAAGGGAGCCCGATTAGACCGGGCCTTGTGTAGCACAGAATGGAGAGTGCAATTTCCTGAGGCGTCAATGACGCATCTCGCCCGCTTCTCCTCGGATCATGCACCCCTCCTTGTCCGCCTGAATGAGGACAATAGTCGACGGAAGGAGGCCCCGTTTGTCTTCCAGGCAGCTTGGCTCACACATGCAGATATTCATAATGTTGTGGCAAACGCCTGGGACACGGGAAAGACTTTAATGGAAAATACGGGCACCTTGGCTGCTACCCTGTCAACTTGGAATAAGGAAACTTTTGGTAATGTTTTCAAACGTAAAAAAACTCTTGCGTCCCGAATAAGTGGTATTCAGAAATGCTTGGCGACTTCTTATCACAAGGGCCTTGTCAAACTGGATCTTAAGCTCAGAGAGGAACTAGAAGTAACTCTCCAACAGGAGGAACTCATATGGTTTCAGAAATCAAGGGAAGAATGGATTTGTTTGGGTGACAGAAACACGGCATACTATCACGCTGCAACGACTATTCGTAAAGCACGGGCTCCTGTCCAGGCGCTGCTCGATGATAATGGGGTATGGATTACTCAGGACTCAGAACTGAAAAGCCATGTTAGGAATTTTTATTTGAATCTTTTCACGAAAGATGCTCAGGAGGCTCCAGAGGCAGGATATTTTGCTAATTTCCCATGCTTAAGGCCGGTTGATTAGGCAATTTTCAATAGAACGGTCTCGAAGGACGAAGTACATACTGCCCTCAAAGACATGAAACCGTTCAAGGCACCGGGCCCAGATGGTTTCCAAGCGGGTTTTTATCAACATATGTGGGATGAGATAGGGGATGACGTGTTCCAGTTAGTTCACCAGGCTTTCATATCGGGAAGCCTTCAGGATGGTCTTAATGATACCCTCGTAGCTTTGATCCCTAAGGTTCAGAACCCGGAGACGATCAAGCAGTTCAGGCCTATTAGCCTATGCAATGTTGCATATAAAATTATAACGAAGACGATCACGAACAGGTTAAAACGGATCCTACCTAAAATTGTCGGACCTTTCTAGAGCTCATTCGTCCCTGGCCGGCAGATTACAGACAACATTCTCATCTTTCAAGAGGTAATGCACACTATGCGTGAAAAGAAAGGTGCAACTGGTTACATGGCAATTAAGTTGGACCTTGAAAAGGCCTATGATCGTCTATCTTGGGATTTTGTCCAGGATACCCTTGAATCTGCAGGTTTCACATGTGTTCTTAAGGATCTAATGATGAATTGCATTCAAACCCCCAGACTTTCGCTAATCTGGAACGGGGAACGACTAGAGGCTTTCAGTCCGGAACGAGGTGTTAGACAGGGGGACGCAATGTCTCCCGCTATCTTTGTGCTCTGCATGGAACGGTTAAGCCAGATGATTGTAGCGACTTCGGAGAGGCGGGCTTGGACAGGTATTAAATTGGCAAGAAATAGTCTCGTCCTAACACATCTCTGTTTTGCAGATGTCATGGTGCTCTTCACGGAGGCCACGCTGGAGCAAGTTGATGTCATCCTGGATTGCCTCGATCAGTTTTGCAATGCATCTGGACAAAAGATCAGTTTAAGCAAGTCACAAGTCTTCTTTTCGAAAAATACTAACCAGACTATGACGGAGGAGATTACACGACGACTCCGGATCGACAGTACGGAGGACTTGGGGAAATATCTTGGCGTACCGGCGATCCATGGACGGGTTACCAGTGCCACGCACTCGGATTTGCTTGCTCGGATTTCTAGCCGCCTTGATGGGTGGAAGGCAAAGACTCTGTCACTTGTGGGAAGAATCGTGCTTGCACGCTCTGTCTTGAATGCTATTCCGGCGTACACAATGCAGACGACTTTTTTACCTAAGGGGGTTTGTTTGGAGATTGAAAAACGTACTCAAAAGTTCATATGGGGGGTAGCGGTACCAACAACAATATGAGCTTGGCAAATTGGGACCTTGTGACGACAGCAATCGAGGCAGGTGGATTAGGTATCAAACGCATGCACGAGCTGAATTTGGCTTTTATGGCGAAACTGGGCTGGCGGCTTCTGACTGAAAGTGGAAGCCTATGGGTAAAGGCAATCAACGCAAAATATAGAAAGTCGGAGGACTCACACAATATACGACAAGGGCGGCGGAACGTCTCCAATGCTTGGCGAGGAATTTCAGCAGCTTGGACACCCATGTCCCAAAGAGTCTCATGTTTGGTTCGAAGTGGTGCTACAACACGCTTCTGGATGGACAAGTGGATGTTACCGGAACCACTGTTTGGGCAGCTCAAGACGCCCCTTCCTCTGCCAGAATTATATGGCATGGTCAGGGACTACTGGGATGAGGCAAGGGGATGGAAGTGGGAGTTATTAGAGCATGCTTTAACACATGAAGCCAAGGAAAGACTAGCGGGGAAAGTTTTAACGACTTTGGATATGGACGATGAACCAGGATGGGGCTTAGAGATTAGTGGTAAATTTACTATACGTTCCATGTATGACACCCTGGTGGATAATCACGACTACCCTACTGATGAGATGTGGAGACGCATTTGGAGAATCCGTGTTCCTGCACGAGTTAATCTGTTTCTGTGGCTAGTACGCCATAAAAAGGTTCTGACGAATGCAGAAAGAGCCAGACGAAAATTAACGGCTGACCCTTTTTGTTTCCTTTGTGCAGGTAAGATTGAGGACTTGCAGCACTTATTTCGAGAATGTTCGGCGGTGACGGGTCTCTGGGAAGCAGTCATCCCCAGAAGCACGTATGCGAAGCTGAATGCCCTTACTTGGGACCAGTGGTTAGAAGTCAACCTTGACGGCAATATAAGATATGGTTTTGACGAAGATTGGCAAGCCCGTTTTGGGGCGAGGATGTGGTGGATATGGCGTTGGAGAAATGAAGGGATTTTTAATAACCGTTCTCTAAGGATACAGGAAAAACTCGAGTGGCTCGCAAAATACGATGTGGAAGTCAAGGGGGCGTTCAACAAACGTTTACACCCGGGGACTGGGGCCATGCAGACGGCCAATGAGCAGGCTGGATGGAAGAAACCGGATAGAGGATGGCATAAACTTAACATTGATGGAAGCTGCAAGGGACAAGAGACGGCTGGATGTGGAGGCCTGATCCGAGATGAAGCCGGAATTTGGTGTGCAGGCTTTTCTTCCAACATTGGGCGGTGTCATGTGCTCGAAGCGGAAGCATGGGGAGTGTTCCACGGTCTACGCCTGGCAAGGCAAGAAGGCATACAGAAGCTCATGGTAGAAAGTGACTCTAAGCAGCTCATTGATAGGATACACAGGAGTCAAAAGACAGGTACCAAAGTATGCAATATCATATGGCGGTGCATAAGGGAAGCTGAGGGTATTCTGCACGTGAAATACGTGCATGTGTTACGTGAGGGAAACATGGTAGCTGATTTTCTGGCAAAGGCAGCCTTTGCAAATCCAGTGGGTTGCCGAGTACTCAAGGAAGCTCCTCCGGAGATAGATGATCTTCTCAAGCAAGATGTAATAGGAGCAACTTTCAGTAGACACTCATGATTCTTGGGTATCCCCCTCCGTTTTTACCAAAAAAAAAAAATGTATCGTTTTGGTCTAAATATGCATGGATAATTTAGAGAAATATACACGTCTTTTTTAGATTAGGAAGCCTACATGCATTGTTTTCAAGTAAATACACATGAGGTCTGTTTGGCAGAGTTTATTTAATAGCTTATAGCGCTGCTAATAAGCTATAAGCTCTGTTTGGTAATATTTCCAAAATAAGCTTATAGTTTAAAATAAGACTTTATTTTGGAAACTACATTAGGTAGCGTTTCAAAATCAGATAGTAGCTTCATAATTTATTTTTTTCTTTTGTATCCTTATTAATTTAAAGAAATAGCATCACCCTTCCTAATTAAAACCCTTTACTTATTCTTTAGCTGCAATTTTAACGACAAATCCTTTAATATTATTATTAAACATTTTAAAGAAATGACAAATCCTTTATCCGCACCTTTATTATTATTATTATTATTATTATTATTATTATTATTATTATTATTATTATTATTATTATTATTATTATTATTATTATTATTATTATTATTTTATTATTATTATTATTATTATTATTATTATTATTGTTGTTGTTGTTGTTGTTGTTGTTGTTGTTGTTGTTGTTGTTGTTGTTGTTGTTGTTGTTGTTGTTGTTGTTGTTGTTGTTGTTGTTGTTGTTGTTGTTATTATTATTATTATTATTATTATTATTATTATTATTTTAAGATTGATTATCTAATATATATGATGGATAGGATGGAGATGTTATGGGATGTTAGATTGTGATTATGCTAATAGTTTTATTTTAAAATGTTAACTTTTTTGAAGACATAATGTTAAACTTTAATATGTAAACAAACTAATTTAAATTTTATGAAGATGTCTTTTTAGTCTTTTTACATTTATCAGCTTATCAAACAGTTAATTTTACTGAACACTTTAAAGCATAACAGCTAGCTTAACAACTCTTCATTTTTCAGCTCATGGCACTGTTTGGTAAACCTAGCTGAAAAGCTATAAGTTATGAGCTGAAAGCTGAAAAGGAGTTGGAAGCTGAAAAGCTATAAGCTCGGAGCTGAAAACTGAAGAACTGTTAAACTAGCTTTCATGATTGAAAGTGTTTGGTAAAATTAGCTTTTTGATAAGTCGATAAATGTAAAAAGACTAAAAAGGACATCTTCATAAAATTTAAATTAGTTTGTTTACATATTAAAATTTAACATTTTGTCTTTAAAAAAAAAAATTAACATTTTGAAATAAAACTATTAGCATAATCATGATCTAGCATCTCATAATGAAGTAGCAATATTGTTGCAAATTTAATAATAATAATAATAATAATAATAATAATAATAATAATAATAATAATAATAATAATAATAATAAATAATAATAATAATAATAATAATAATAATAATAATAATAATAATAATATTTGCGGTGAAAGTTGCGGATAAAAGAGAAGAGAAAAGGGTTTTAATTGAGAATGGTAAATTATGTCATTTCTTTAAAATAATAAGGATAAAGATGGAAAAAAAGTTAGGAAGCTAGGAGCTTATTTTGGGAGCATTACCAAACAGAGCTTATAGCTTATTAGTAGCTTAAAATAAGCTATAAGCTCCTAAATAAGCTCTGCCAAACAGAGCCCATAACTTATAACTTTTCAGCTTTCAGTTACTTTTTAGTAGGGGTGTTAAAGTGAGCCGAAGCCTGCGGGTTAGCCCGCACCCGCCCCGCGATGGGGCGGGTTAGGGCTGCAAGAAATTAGGCTCGCGAAAATGCGGGCCTAACGGGCATGGCCCGCGGAGGGCTAAAGCCCGCGCGGGCAAATCCACATGGGTTGCGGGCCAGCCCGCGGGCCAGGCCATATTTAAAAAATAAATAATATATATAATATCTTTTTTTTTTTTAAAAAAAAACATATATATAATATCTTAATTCTTAGGCAGTGTGTAGATCTGACTATCTAAGAGTACGCAGAAGGGGAGAAATTCAATAATTCAATAATCCTTCGCCAATTCTTAATTCAATAATTCCTAGAGTACGTAGTTCTTCGGTTCTCGCGTCTTCATCCGCCTCCAACTCTATCAAACAATTACTAAAACTAAATCATCAATTCATACATATTTATGAATTACTAAATCGCCTCCAAGTCCAGCAAAC